GGCTCCACCTCTTAACACTGCCACATTGGCCCTTAAGTTTCAACACCTAAATTTTAGGGGGGACACATTTGAACCATAGTAATGTGTGAGATTACAGTATGATGCACAAAGGTATCATAACTGTAATGATGATGAAATTTGATGTAGATTATACTGAAGTTGCAAGATAGTTTCTCTGAAAATAACATGAATTTTTTAGAATATGTAAGACAAAAACTAAAAATTTAAGTAAAATGTTAATAATAGTTAAAACTATTGAGTAGTTTGACATAAATTAGGCACTATTTTAAGCTTTCTACATCCTTATGTAATCTTTATCATAGACACATAACTTATTATTGCATTTACAGATGATAAAATTAAGACACACAGTGATTAGTTAAGTGGTTGATACTTAACAAAGGGAAGAAGTGGCAGAACCAAAACAAGGTCTAGGTCTAGTACATTAGAGTCTGTTACCTTCTGGTAACAATGTCTTCCTGAACAGAAAATTAAATCATTTTCTCCCTTTCAGATATTGAAGGGATCAAGAAAATAATGAATCAGAAAACTGTAGTGACACTAAAAATAAATTTGATTTCTAATGCTCTTGCAGAAGGAAAACCAGATAATTTCATCAACTCATAAATTGTTACTGGACTTAATGCCTGAGTATGAGAGTCAGGTTGATTACATATGGAATATTTGTTATACAGCTTTATACATTTTATCATTTCATCTGAATAATACGGAAAAACTTGAAAATTCATTTTTTTCATACACACAGGAAAAATGAGAAACAAATAGACATAGTGAAGTGAGGTTAGATTCACAACACAATATTATAAGAACAGTCCTTGTCCAACATGGTGAAACCCTGTCTCTACTAAAATTACAAAATTTATCTGGGCATGGTGGTGCACACCTGTAGTCCCAGCTACTCAGGAAGCTGGGCAGGAGAATGGCTTGAATGCGGGAGGTGGAGGTTGCAGCAAGCCAAGATTGCGCCGCTGCACTCCAGCCTGGTGACAGAACGAGACTCCTCAAAACAAACACACACACACACACACACAAAACAGTCCTACATTTACAGAGGAGAATTGTTTTATCTAATTTAAATGAAATGTGATTGTATGTCTGAAATCATATATTAAGTAGAAAATATAAGAAGAAAACACACGAAGCTCAAGACTGAAAACTCCAAAATCAAAGATGGAAATAGCGTAAATAATGACACACCTAACTGTGGATGCCCTGTTCTCTTATTTCCAACCATCTCATCAGAATGTTTTTTAGTATTAATATTGACATGGGAATTACAATTGTGTTAGAACCTGTTTCCATTGCTCTGAGATAGTCTCCCAGTGAAATTAGGTATTTCTGTAACAACTCTACGGAGAGCACTTCAGAACATTTTCTTCCAGCAGGCATTTAAGAATATATATGGACAGTCACCGTGCGAAATTTAGTCCAGAAAATTCCACTTACACAAAATAGTGCTTTAAAGCCCCATGTCATGCTATAACTTCTAATTGATATTCTTGGCTTCCTGAATACCAGGTAATTTTCTGTCTTCTTAAATCTGCCTCCACCCCTGCGGGTGTTCTATAAGTCTTTTTATGCCTGAAAATACTCTCAACTTCAAGATCTCCAAATCCAAAATTATACTTTCTGATGATAAACCTGTCTTCATATTATAATTGCCACATTTCTTAACATCTATTGGCCTTCATCATTAGTTTATCACCATTTGCCATTCTTTGACTGTGCACTGTTTTGGTAACCCAACTCCACTTCTGACTTTCCTTGTCCTGAGTCAATGAGAAAAATAATGGTTAGTCATTTGAAAACATCTTTTTTTTTTTTTTGACAATTTAAGAATACCACATTTCTATGACTTTCTGTCATTGCTGTCTAGCAAATCCTCACTTTTGAGTTTTTCTCACTTTCATTTCTGTTTCTGTTCTTAGATAAGTACAATGCTGCAAAACCACACTTATTAGAGCCAGTAAGTGGGTGGTAATGTAATTGAATGTCTAAATCTGAACCACTTTTTATTTTTGAAAATGTAAAAGGATACTATAAAACTGGTGTAAATCAGCCCTGTCTCAGAGAAACCAGGATAGATTATCATCCTAATATCGTCCTGAATATATAAAAGACAAATTTACAAGGAAAAAACAACCCCATCAAAAAGTGGGCAAAGGATATGAACAGACATTTCTCAAAAGGAGACATGCATACAGCCAACAGACACATGAAAAAATGCTCATCATCACTGGCCATCGGAGAAATGCAAATCAAAACCACAATGAGATACCATCTCACACCAGTTAGAATGGCATTTGTTAAAAAGTCAGCAAACAACAGGTGCTGAAGAGGATGTGGAGAAATAGGAACACTTTTACACTGTTGGTGGGATTGTAAACTGGTTCAATCATTGTAGAAAATAGTATGGCGATTCCTCAAGGATCTAGAACTAGAAATACCATTTGACCCAGCCATCCCATTACTGGGTATATACCCAAAGGATTATAAATAATGCTGCTCTAAAGACACATGCACACATATGTTTATTGCGGCACTATTCACAATAGAAAGACTTGGAATCAACCCAAATGTCCATCAGTGACAGACTGGATTAAGAAAATGTGGCACGTATACACCATGGAATACTATGCAGCCATAAAAAAGGATGAGTTTGTGTCCTTTGTAGGGACATGGATGCAGCTGGAAACCATCATTCTCAGCAAACTGTCGCAAGAACACAAAAGCAAACACTGCATGTTCTCACTCATAGGTGGGAATTGATCAATGAGATCACTTGGACATAGGAAGGGGAACATTACACATTGGGGCCTATGATGGGGAGCGGGGAGCGGGGAGGGATTGCATTGGGAGTTATCCCTGATGTAAATGACGAGTTGATGGGTGCTGACGAGTTGATGGGTGCAGCACACCAACATCGCACAAGTGTACATATGTAATAAACCTGCACGTTGTGCCCATGTACCCTAGAACTTGAAGTATAATTAAAGAAGTAAAATAGCAAAAAAAAAAAAATATATATATATATATATATATAAAAGATATTTTCCCAACTCATTGATATCATCTAAGAATTTATCCTTGGTTTTATATACATCTGTCCACGTTGGGCTTGCTTATCCATAATGATAGATTCAGGTATTTCTTGTCACGTCCTCATCCCTTTCTTTTATTTTCTTTCTTTTTTTTTTTTTCTTTTTTTGAGACAGAGTCTCACTCTGTTGCCCAGGCTGGAGTGCAGTGGCATGATCTTGGCTCACTGCAAGCTCCACCTCCCAGGTTCATGCCATTCTCCTGCCTCAGCCTCCCAAGTAGCTGGGATTACAGGTGCCTGCCACCAGCCTGGCTAATTTTTTGTATTTTTAGTAGAGATGGGGTTTCACCGTGTTAGCTAGGATGGTCTTGATCTCCTGACCTCAGGATCCGCTCACCTAAGTCTCCCAAAGTGCTGGGATTTTACAGGCGTGAGCCACCGTGCCCAGCCCACGTCCTCATCCCTTTCTATGGATGTGCTGGTTGAGATATATATATGTATACATTAATACAGATAAGCATATATAATTGTATATGACTATGTATTGTCCTATAATTAAAATATGATTATATGTCATTGATTATATATGATTATATACATGATCAACTATATGTTATATATAATCAACTATATATGATTATATATGATCGATTATATATGATTATGATTATAATCGATTATATGATTTTATATACATAATTTTATATATACATATATAACAAATTTTGTAATGAAGATATAATGTTAGAAAGTGAAAAACTAAATTTACTTTGGGATTGAGCTTACAAATTTTACTATTTCAGTTTTTAAAGTGACTATATTTTCTTATTCATGCTTAGTTGTGAAACCTTGGATTAATCTTAAAAATTCTTCCTTTCAGTGTCTCCACATAAAATTAGCCATCAAGTCTGTAAATTTTTCTTCCACCGTATTCCTCAAACTACTACCCAGTTATGCATTATTAATAATACTGTATCAGTTAGTCCTGAACGGTACTTCTGCCAGATTAATCTTCTTGAAGCCTGCCTCCAATCATTTCAAGCCGTTGAACTATGTAAGAACCTTTATATAGTGTCTTCTTTTGGAATCTGACTGAAGTACATCCTCCTTAGCTTTGTATCTATGGCTTTCCTTTCTCTGGCCCCAAGATGTACTCTCCATTGCTTTCTCTGCCAATATTCGAAAATAGAAATCTGATACATTAGTGAGATCAGATGCTATGTTCATTTTGTTCCATCCTCCAGGGACCTTCCCTGTTGAAATTCCACATTCTTAATGACTATCGTAGTCAATCTCTTCCATGAGAAATGGTTTACTATCTTATCGGATATAAAACCTCCTTTCTTTAATTCCCAATAGCACTCTGTTTAGTTATTTTATTCTGTCTCATAAGCATTATTTGTGTACCTGTTTTATCCTTCTCTTAAAGTGCTATTTTCTAAAGGATCTGACAGGTTTGAACACTGGAACATCATGGTTACTAATATCAGACAATCATTAATTACTGTTAAAATTACTTTACACATGTGACTGAATATTTTAGAGTTATTTGTATGACTAATGTAAAAATATTACTAGATTTCTCTGCAAACAAAGCTCTTTCCAGCAGTCAGGTAGCAAGCATCAATATACAAAATAAAAGTTGAACTAACTGATGCATGAAGAAAGTAAAGGCTTTACTCATGGGCAAATCCCAGTCCCTGGTAGAGCTGGAAGAAGACACAGTCCTTTAAATTGTCTTTTCCTGTTCATTTTAAATAGAGCCCTCTATATGCATGCAAAGTGCTGCAGTCATTAATTAAGTAGATTCAATCTCTCATTTTCCTTAAATCATCACTGATTTGAGCTCACTGTTTTCTCAATTTAGGCCTAAGAAAGTTATGGCCAGATATTCATTCTCCAATTAACCTAAAAGTGAACTATATTTCATTGCTTGTAGGATGGTATGGGAAATCTGAGAGTCACCAAGAAGGGAATCCGACTTGAAGGTATATCTGAGTTTCTACTTCCATTGTATGTGAAAGAAATTCATTCTCGAAAGGTATGTGATACTGGCTTTGGTTTACTCTAAAAGATAATTTAGAGGTTATGTTTTAGCTTGAAATAGCAGGATAGAATCCCCTTATCTCTTCAGCGTGTGTTTAGCTTCCTTAAGCTAAACACCTATGTTTAGAAATCAAGTGGTAAAATAATTGAAAATCAGTGGAGGTTAGTTTCAACCCGACAAATGTTAGAGAACCATTTTGAACTAACCTGCAGTGTTCTTTTGCTGCTCTGTAAAATGTGCCTCTCTATTTTCACTGGAAATTAAAATATAAAGTTATAGTAAATCCAAAGGGGGCATTTGATATGTCTTGAATTTTTTTTTTCAAAAAGGCACTGATTTGAATTAATGATTTTAATTCAACATATTATATATCTCATCAGTTTTAATAGACATGCATTTTCTAAAAGAAATGACAAAGAATTTTAATGTAGAAATTAAATTTATTTCTGGATGTACATTATGCAAAACAAGTGAGAATATTTATCCTTCAAATATGTGTGTTTTCACATGTGCTACCTGTGTTTTATCTCTTACAAGCATGCTAAAAATTAATATTGTAGCTTAGATTTTGTTCATTTTGGCTTATGTACATTGCCTCTCAGAAGGTAGTAAATATCTTGGATATATCAAAAACTTACTAGAATTTTTCCTATCTCCTATTACATATCCCCCTGAACTATATGTATATTTGTGGAAATAAGTTTATTAAGATAGAAATAATGGGAACTGTGTTATATAAAAGTTGAAAAAAGGTTATACTTATTTCATAAATATGAAAGTCTATTTTAGGCTAAAATAATGTTTTAATATTTTAATCGATGTAGAAGATTAGCAAATAGGTTGCATAGTGAGCCATAATTTGAATAATTTGTATCAAAGTTATTTTTCCTTAAATATCAAAATGAAAACAGACCAAAAGATTGCTTTTCATAAAACACTTAATTAGGATAACTATATTAACTTCAAATTTCTTTTTTAAAATATGAAAACTGATACAGCTTCTGATATACTGTATTGACTCTACTCTGGTACTAGAAATTTTATTTTGATACTAATTTACTTTCCGGGTATCGGTCAGACAAGTAACACAGTAGACAGATTTATGAATACCTGACCTTACATCATTAAATGTTAAAAAAGTATTAAATTTAAAATAAAAAGTTTAGTTATTTTGCTTTATTTTATTTTTATGAAAAGGAAAAACAAAAAGCATGGTTACATATATTAGTGTCTTACTTTGATTGAAAGTCACCGTCTTTGACAGTTATTTACTGAGTTATTGTGTTTGACACTGTTAAATAATGCAGTATTTGAAGGAATTAAAACTTATACATGGAAATCAAGAAGCTGCTTAACATAGGAAGCAAGTGGGACTAAGCATGGGCCAAAACTTCTCTGAAAATGCCTCCTATTGATAAGTCCAGGGACAGGAGAAATGATTTATCTCTGAAGTCATTTAGGTTCATTTGTAGTGGCTACCTGGGGACAAAATTTAAATGATTGTGAAACCTTCTACGATCAGGCAGGTTGTAGAATTTATCTTCTCAGCCAGGACATTTCTGAGAATATAATGACAGGTGTCAAATTAAGTTTCTCCTGAGAAACAGGAATATGTGTGGATTCCACCTATGGACCATGGAGGATGGAGTCCACTAACATTATAGCATGAAAGTGTGAGGCGGGGCCACTTGCACTTCCTAATTTCCATCCCTGAGAAAGCTAAATCCATGTTCACAAGCATTTCCAAAACCTACTGTATTGACTGAAGAATATGTGCTCCCCTTCACACCCCAGCCCTGATGCTGGTCCTTCCTGTGTCTTCCTTCATTGTTGTTTGTCTCCCTGTAACTAGGAAGCATGGAAAAGGCAGGCACATTGGTAGCCAGACAGGAAATCTGGTGCAAGAACAGGAGTAGGAGCGGAATCATACACTTCTTGGAAAATTCTCTGCACGTACGCTTCAAAAATAAATATGTAAGAAATCTCCAGACTGCTTTCCACAGTGGCTGAACTACTTTATGAACCTAAGTGTTGGATAAATATTTAAAATAAAGAGGAAAATATATTTTATAAGCACCTCTCACATTATGATTCACTTGTCCATGAATGCCTTTTTACTTCTAGAAAGCCAGCCCCAATTTCTCTTAGCCTTAGTTGGCTCATCATTAAGTGAGTTTGGTACAAACTTATCAAAGTACTTAACTCATAGGTTAGGGCAGAACACAAACGTTTCAGTAACGGAAGTAGAAATGAGGTTTTTAATTTTAAAAATTCTGTTATACGTTTCAATCTTTTCACACATTTTCATAGAGTCAACAATTTGATGATAAAATTCCAAAGTTCCTGTAGTTCTAAGGTAAGGAAATCTATTATAAAATCTAAAAGACACTTTGGAAGATTTGATGAAGCTGAGAGAATAAAACCTGCTGGGTACAGGAATTTTGATTTCTGTGTGTGATTGTATATGTTTAGCCTCCATTAATGCCACCCTGTTGCTGTCTTTAAATTTAGCCAGTATTCCCCTCTGACATACAGAATTTTCTTAAAGTTACTTTGCGGTCATGCGGGCATTTAGTCCTACACATGGGAAGATAATATAGAGGTTTCTATTGGACAGAAAATGCAGTCACCTATAAATGCACATTTAGTCACCTAACCTAATCCACTATGGGCTGGACCAACTTTACAAGCTCCTCTCACCCTCTCCCCATCACTAAATATCTACAGATATTTAGATATCTAAGTTCTATTATTAGTCTTAGCAATTTATACCCTTTGTCATGCTTTTCAAAACTTAACCTTTTCTAAGTTGTCCAACAAAAATGTAAACAAAAAACATATCATAGTATATCCAGGAAACATCTTAGAATTCAATGTATTTTTCAAAATTAACATTATTCTCAGGGAAGATTACTATAGAACATTTATAAAGTTAAATATATAATACTATTCAGAGAAGAACAATACAAAGCATGTGTAACTTGGGCTAGTTTATATAAATGGTAATGATTATAACATTCTGCATCTACTTTCAAGGCACTTGGTCCAACTTTAGGCCAAAACATTTAAAATATCAGGAATTTAGGACACCTAATCTTCAAGCTTTTTAAAAAACGTAATTGAAGTATGTTTCCCAAGGTTACACGAGTCCAGGGTAGTCATATGGTCAAATTACATGCATTTAACTGCTTCTAACCAGCAAAATTTGCATCATGTAGTTCTTCGGAACCTCTTAGCTGAGACGAACTGAGCAACCCTCTTGGATTGTTTGTTTCCTGTTCAAGGATTGTTAGTTGAGGTGGTATCTCAGCACTACCACTGATCCCAGCTTCCTACATGGCAGACTGGTAATGGTGACAGAGGATCTACTACCAGATAATTCAAATTCTAGTAACTCCACAGTTCAGCAAATAAGTCTTGAGTTCTCAGAACACCCGTTTTAGCAGAGGTGTGCAGAAGGCTCTGCTTTTCCCATCATGTCCATTTCACTGTGATGTTAACCCAGTTCTTGGTTCCATCCGTTTTGCACCTTGTGTGTTCAATTATTCTTTATAGAATTCAGACACAAAGCCATGGGGCCAGGCGAGCACAGCAAATGTCTTTTTACATGATTACATGACATGCTAATCTCCTTACCTCTCTCATTTAGGTATTGTGGCAAATCTCCTCTATTTAGATTTCTTTCTTTCATACAAACTAATTCATAAACATAGATATCTGAAGGCTTTCCTAATCATTTTATTATCATGGTTATCATTATCATATTAGATTTGTAATGCAGATAAAGTTTATGCTTTTGGTAATCACTTTAGTCAAGTTTTAAAAAAACACAAACCACTCCAAAGTCTTTACACTCAGGAAAAAAAAATTACTGTTAACATTTCATGACCATATCGCAACTATAAAATTATATATTTGCACAAATAAAAGAATAAATATAGATATGTAAAGGCTATTTGTAAATAATATATGTGATGTAATAGAAAAAAATAATAAATTAGAAATTGGCTGAACTTAAATATTTCTTTACCACAGAACTTTTTAAAGTAAAACTTGTCTTTATGGTTAAGAATAAAGGATTATAAATACCATTAAGAAGCTGAATGCATTAGCTCCGTGTTTTAATTTCAGACAGCTTTTGTTAACTCCTTGCAGTGTAATTGGAGATGATTAGCTGCTCTCCAGTTTGTCCTCAGTTCTCTTCATTTCCAGTTTGTTGATAATTATATTACTTTAACTTTGTCACAATTCATAATATTTACATTCAGTTCTGCAACTTTAACTGCCTCGGGTCTTTGGTCTTGATTCTACATATAAATGGCTGCAGTTACACATCATCTCTAGTCTTCTTTATATTATGGATTTTCCATTTCTCAGTTCATTAGTCAAATCATTCCTTCCTTCCTTGTATTCTTAATTAGTTTTGTTTGCTAGTTTTGATTCGTTTTATTTACCTGCATGGGGGATTTTCCGGGAAAAGCCAGAAAATTTGCTAGGCGGATTCTAAAAGAACTGTAACAGTGCTAGTTGGTTTTTTAATCCTTGAAATATTTCATGCTTCGGGTGTCTGACTGTTGCCTTTATTCTTTTCTGGGAGTGTTATTAATGGTTCATGCCTTCCTTGCCTCCGATTTGGGAACACACTTCTCTATTAAGTCCAAGCACTGAATATTGCCGTAAGAAATCCGAGCGCACCCTGGTATTTTTCTCCTTTTGATGACATGAATGTTCTGCTTGGATGCCTGCTATATTTTTGCCATTTCACTTTTTTCATTTCAGAGAAATTTTACCTATTTTGTCACTTAATAGCTTTTCAGTTTTGTTTGTTGGTTTCTTCTACTTCAGAGAAAGCAATCATTCTTATGTTAGGTCATCTTTGTTCCCCACAGCCATCATAATTTCATGAATAATTTTTAACTCTTTATATTTTTCCTCTAAATACAAGTAACTGTCATCTAGAGTTTTTCTACGATTCCATTCGTTTGTTTTTTTTC